AAAACTGATGATGCTGGAAAAATACACCGAAACGTATTTTGATTGATAAATAGAGACAATAAATGACTGAAACCCAGGAATGAATTTGATTTGGAATTGAAGCAGTCAGGAAAGTATATACAATTATTTTCAAGCCAAACTCCTCCCATGGTGCAAAGATTTCCTGTTACTGTCCAATAGCAGCTCGGGTACTAAGGAAAAGTTTCTTTGCACCATAGGTTTATATTCTATTGGGCGGTACTTAACACAGTTAAATTTACAGCCCCACAACGCAAGCGATTGTGGCCATAACATTCGCAGAATATGCAGCAAAGCCCTTTTTCCCCGAATGCAAACCGCCCGACAATGCCATAAGACTGTTGGCCGCTGCCTGTTTATGTAAGTGACTTTGAGGACAGTCTGATGTCTTGCGACAATTAAATCCCCTTTATTCGGGCCTCTGATTCATTCAGAAGATCCGCGCAATTACGTCTGAATAGAGGGCCTAATGAGGCGAACCTCTCGTGCTCTCCACCTCCAAGCTGAACAATTGTTTAATGTCCTTAGGTCTTTTGACTGCCATTAATTGTCTGAGCACAAGATGGACGATGAGGATTCAGGACATTTTCACCGTTGCCAAGCTGGCGGCTCTGGTTGCCATTATTGTGACTGGATTGGTTTATTTGATAACTGGTAAGTGCGATTTTCAACAATGCAACAAGGTTGAATGGTACCTCTTGAATGCACCTGGTAGTTTAGGTGGGCGCTTGAGTTTTGCCGTCGCTGTGCTACGGAGAGAGAAAAACTAAGCAGTCGCCATGGAAACGAGGGTGTCTTTGTTGCGCCGTTTGGATGTACGAGGGGAGATACGAAAATGCAATGTTGCTGCACGGTTTTTTCGTTATTGTTGCCCACTATTCTAGTAAATATAAATCAAAGTGAAAGTTTCCTGTACCAGGTGCATGTGTTTAGGAAGTTTTAAATCGCCCCGTTCGCTTGTTGTTTTGGCCTTGAAGGCTTCTGCTGGTAGCTTACCAAGGTGGGTTCGAACGACCGGGTCATTCCAGCCCGCAGGCTTAATTTCCGCTGCATAATCTCGTTAATTTTGTTTACCCGCAGAATCAACCAAACTCGGATTTGTGCGCAATTTGCCGAAAAAATTGAGTATTTTTTTCTGTTTCAGGACATACCGAGAACTTTTCTAATGCCTTCGATGGGAACTACGACGCTTTCAGCATAGCGCTCAGCTTCTATTCCGGTCTGTTTGCCTTCGGCGGCTGGAATTACTTGAATTTTGTTACCGAGGAACTTCAGGACCCTTACAAGTAAGTGCAATCTGGTGTTCTTAATTTGCAGTCTTGTTTTCGTTCTGAAAGCCCACCTGGCTTGATAAATCTGCTAATTAAACAATTACAACGGAGATTCAGGGCTTATCGCTTCAAGTGCCCGATAAAGAAATATTGTCTTATCTGGTTGAATTGTGGTTTAATCATGATTTTATTGGTTTATGGCTTATGATTGTGTTGAGAATTTTGTAATCTTTAAGGCTTAGGTGGTGACAGTTTCAGGATGATTTGCGACCCGCGAACTCGTTTGAAGAAAAATCAAGGTTCATCTAAAGTATTGTCTGTTCTGATAGCGTGTTAAGCGACTCGTTTATTTTCAAAAAATTGTCTATTTTGGGGACGCTACTGCACACACAGTGGACCATTAGATTCGGAACAATTGGGTCAATTGAAGGAAAAACACAGAGCGCCAGAGAAGCGAAAGCTAAATGAGGAGCTCGCTTAAATATTTTCCTGTCGATTTTCGCTCAGCCCTTATCTTTAATTCAACGCTTCAGCAAATTTATTGCTGCATTTAATAAATAGTGATGCGTCACTTTACCATTGCAGGAAACAGAGCTGCTTGCTTACAAGAGTAGTGCAATTTACAAAACTCAGGTTGATTAGAAGCGCTTTGTATTGGTTTTACGCTTACGGCTCGAATAACTCTAGATTCTGGCAATAAAGTCGAACCACTCTTATTTACGGGCGGTGGTTTATGGCAGCCACTATTAAAACGTCGTAGTTAGTGGATTTTCCATTCGCCCTTTGTAATGTGCACTTGCAAGGGAATAGATCAATAAAAAATTCGCAATAAACATGCAAAGAACAACGATTCCGAAGGATAATGGATGGAATGATCGTCGTTTTGTGCAAGGGTGGCGCAAGATTATTACAAAATTTCATGTTTTT